GATTAATGGAAGTTGAATGATGAATACCTTAATTTGTGGAATTTTCAAATTGTTTTTCTATACTAATGCTTTCAGTAATAAGAACTAGTAATAAGCTAGTTGGAAGGTGTGATTAATACTTAAAAGTGTATTTTTATCAAGGTTTTATATCATCATTTTGCACTTGAAGTATCAATAACTCCTTAACTAAAACATGTTTTATAATAACATATCTAATAATATAAGATAACTTTAATTTATGGTAAATGTTGGTTTTAAATGCAAACCTATCACATAAATGAAAGGATTGATTAATGAATTTAAGAAGTGAAATTGAAAGGACAAAGAGATGGTCAAACTTAGAAAAGAGATGTTAGTGCAGTCCAAATCAGAACATTATTCGGTAATTGGGTCATGTCTGAAGCTGTAGATCTCGGATTTAGGTCTACTTTAAATGGATGGAAAGGTAAGATATATGCCTACAACTTTTATAAGAGCCTAAGATTTAAAAAGGTCATTTTCAAGTCCAAATTGTAGGAACAACAAAAAAGTCTGAATCTGTCCTTCAGCCTGCATATTGTTCAGGTTTTGGCTCATATCTGGAGTTCTAGAAGCCCAAATAACCTCTATTGTTTTTCCTGGAAAGCTGAGACAATTTTCTCCAACTTTCATGTTTCAAATGGTTCCAATTCTAATGTTATCAATGACATTTTGAGCAGACAAGAGAAGATAAGGATTGTCACCAAGTCAAGAGTTGACTACCCACTCATCAATTAGTTTTCAAATCAATAGTTCCCAATTTTGGTCTATAAAAGGAGGCATTTGTCATGCATTTAGACATCTGTGTTTCCATATCAAGATCATGCTCTTGCTTTCTCTCTTTGTATTTTTTGTATTGCTTATGTTTTGCTTTCATTAATATCAAGTTTATGCCTTTCATTTCCTTTCCTTTACTTAGTTAACTTTTATCTTATTTATGTAATCTTGTTTATTTATTTTTTCTTTTTTTCATTATATTTAGCTAAATTTATTATGTTAAGGTGAAAAGGTTATACTAATGGTGTAAGAATAAGTATAATGTAAACTCAATATGGACTTTAATGTTTGATACTAACATATTTTATATTTGTTATCTTGTTCACTCTTTAATACTTTGCTTGTTAAATGACTAATCTAGATTTATGTTGTTTAACACTTGGTATAACAAATGCTTGGTACTTTCATAGCCATACTGTAAGGTATAACCGACACCTAAGTTATGAAAGAAACTTGATTTGTTATTAACATAAGTTGTAATAATGAATACGTGACAAGATTTACAAGTATTAGCATTAATCGAATAAGATGACTAATGTAATCATGTTAACAATTTATAATCTGATTGAAACTTCTTTTGTGTGTGGTTTCTAATTGAATAATAAGAGTTTATACTATACTTGTTTGACATACCATTAGTGGATTCTCTAACCTTGATATTTATTGTTATCATTGTTTAATCCTTACGTTAATCTTCCATCTCAAAGTTCTCATCAACTTCTTCTTCTTCTTCTTCTATTATTATTATTATTATGATTATTATTATTACTACTATTGTTATTGTTGTTGTTGTATTATTGGTATTTATAATTTATATAATTAACATCCCTGTGGTTTGACCCCGGTCTTGTCGGGTTATTTATTACTTCGACACTCCTACACTTAGAAGAAAACATCAATCTTTTGGTCGTGTCAACTAGATTTGGCTACTGGAAAACATCATACATGTCTTTTTAATGGCTCAAGAACCACCCACTCATTAGGGCATGAGAAACACGCACCCATAGCTTTTCGATTAAAAAATAACAAATACATCATGAAAATACTAAAATATTCTTCATGGTCCTCTTAATTATACAAAATATCCATGTAAAAATATCAAAATACCCCCCAAAACAGCTTTTTTTCAATCTTTTCTAAGGCTAAAAATGTTATTTCACTGTATTAAGTTTTCTTAATCTACAGTGATTTCCAAACACAGTTTAGCTTTTACTAGGTGATATGCCCCCGCGATGCTGCGGGCTTGTGACATGCTTGTGCATTATCGTGGATCTATGAAAAAAATCATATAAAAAAAACTTTTACCATCCATAATATTTTAAAGGAAAAAAACTACAAAGCTATATTTTCATCCAGCTCAACATTAAAAAAACAAAATCAACAAAAATAATTATGAAAAAAAAACACAAAAAAGAAGATGACAATTTTGGAAGAAAAAAAAGCAAAAAACAAATAAAAAAAACATATAAGGAAAGTTAAAGCAAAATTTTCAACCAGCTCAATATTAAAATCATTTAAGAAAACACTGTAGCAATTTATAGTGTTTTGTGAGGAAATATACAATTATAATTTTCAACCAGCTCAATATTAAAAAAAATCAACAAAGATAATTTTGACAAATATAGAAAAACAAAAGGAAAAAAAAAACATGGAGGGAAACACTATAATAATCTATAGTGTTTCATGAGAAAATCTATAATTTTAATTTTTAATTAGCTCAATATTAAAAATAATAAAAACAACAAAGACAATTTAAAAATATATATATAAAAAAAATCATATGAAAAAACACTGTAGCAATCAACGATGTTTTAAGGAAAAAAAACTAAATTGTCAACCAGTTTAGTATGAAAAAAATAAATTTGACAAAAAAATATTTGGAAAAAAAATATTGATAAAAAAACATGTGAGGAAACACTGTAGCAAGACAAAAATCATGTAGGAAAATGCTGTAGCAATCTATAGTGTTTTAAATAACTACAAAGCTAAATTTTCAATCAGTTTAAGATGAAAAAAATTAAATCGACAAAGATAATTATGAAAAAAAATTATTTAAAAGACCATGTAAAGATATATTATTGCAATCTAATGTGTTAAAGAAAAAAAATTAAAAAACTAAATTTTCAATCAGCTCAATAATAAAAAATAAAATCAACAAAAATAATTATAAAAAAAACATATAAAGAAGAAAGAAAATTTTAGGAAAGATTTAAAAAAACAAAAAAAAACGTGGGGAAAGCTAAAACTAAAGTTAAATTCTCAACCAATTCAATATTGAAAAAATAAATTCAACAAATATAATTTTTAAAAAATCATGTGAGAGAAACATTGTAGGCAAAGAAAAACCATGTAAGGGAAACACTGTAAAAATTTATAGTGTTTTTTTTTTTTAAAAAGCTACAAAGCTAAGTTCTCAACCAGCTCAATATATAAAAAAAAACCGACAAAGATTATTTTTAAAAAAGTCAATTTTGGGTAAAAAAATAAAAATAAACACGTGAGGAAAGCTACAGTGTTTAAAAAAATTAAAAAACTAAATTTTCAACCAGCTCAATAATAAAAAAATAAAATCAACAAAAATAATTCTGAAAAAACAAAACAAAAAAAGAAAATACGTAAAAAAGGAAAATTTTGGAAAAAAAGAAAAACAAATAAAGAAAATAAAAAAACATATGGGGAAAGCTAAGCTAGATTATCAACTAGCTCAATATTGAAAAAATAAATTTGGTAAAGATAATTTAAAAAAATATATATATAGGGAAACACTGCGGCAAAATAAAAATTATATAGAGGAAACATGGTTGCAATGTATATTTAAAAAGAAAACTACAAAACTAAATTCTCAACCTACTTAATATAAAAAAATAAAATCTACAAAGATCATTTTGAAAAAAAATTATATATAAAAAAAACAATGCATGAGAATATTATAGCAATTTACAATGTTGTTTTTAAAAAAACTATATAGTTAAATTTTTAATCAGTTCAATATTTAAAAAAATTAATAAAAAAAATTTTGAAAAAAAAATTAAAAGAAGAAGAAAAGGAAGAAATAAAAAAAACATGTAAAAAAAAAGGAAGAAATAAAAAAAACATGTAGTCAAGGTAAAAAAAGAAAAAAAAACATGTAAAAAAAAAGGAAGAAATAAAAAAAACATGTAAAAAAAAAAGGAAGAAATAAAAAAAACATGTAAAAAAAAAAGGAAGAATAATTTTGAAAAAAAAAGAGCAGAAGAAGAAGTTAGGGTAAAAAACAAAAGAGAGAAAAAACATGTAAAAAAAAAGGAGGAAATAAAAGCGAAAAAAAAAAAAAAAACCTGCTACACTGAAAAACTTATTTGGTAATTATAATTAACGTCTCCTCACAAACCCGCCAGGACCCCCTCTTCCAAACCCGAACTGTCTAACAGGTACAGAAACCGGGTCAACCTGTACGAGCCCAGGAAAACAAGACATGCCGAGAGAAGCAAGCATGTCCATGGTCCCCTTGTCAACCTCAATCTGATCACTCTTAATGGCAGACACTTCAGGCACAAAGTCCATGTGGCGCTCACGTTATTCCTCTTGAAGCTTTAGAGAAATCCCTCGGACAGGACCCTTCTGGATCTGTTTCATTAAGTGAGTCGAGAACCCAGCATTCTTGTGGGTATGGAAATCGAGGGTCATGCGTGAATAGTAGCTAGCGTTCTATCACTTGGAGTGAAGATTTCTTCACTACCTCAATTGACCCCTTGTTATTGTTGTTGATTAGATTAGAGACGATGTAATTGATAGGGATGAAACTTGGCAAGCGCGGCCACCAAAACCACCCCATATCCCTTTCAATTCTACAATATTGTAGAGAGTCCTTGTCCACAAATTGTGTTTTGGCCCGGAATTGGAGTTTATTAAAAGCCAAAAGAATTTCTTCACTACCTCAATTGCCCCCTTGTTATTGTTGTTGATTAGATTAGAGACGATGCAATTGATAGGGATGAAACTTGGCAATCGCGGCCACCAAAACCACCCCATATCCCTTTCAATTCTACAATATTGTTGAGAATCCTTGTCCACAAATTGTGTTTTGGCCAGGAATTGGAGTTTATTATAAGCCAAAAGAATCTCGTGTTGTCTTTAGAGGGGAATCTCTCAATAATTTCCTTTTTTTTTTTGTTTTTGTGAGAAGCTTAATCTTTATGAGAGAAATAAACTCTCAAATAGCATATATAAAAGATGACAGAACTCTTAGATTTTAATTCTGGGACACATTTGGATACTTTATAAATCATAATGTCGAAAGAAACAAGAGGGTAATGGAAATAAAACTAACTCAAACTCGAGACTGACCAGCAACAATGTGAAATTATCATGTATATATATATATAATTACTAGCACTCTCCGGCTCAAGAAAGTAGGCTTTTCACTGCCGATGGCAGTGTTGGATTTATCAAACTATAGCCTCCATCAATCACCAAATTAATCCCACTAACATACTTAGATTCATCGCTTGCCAGATAGACTGCTGCGTTTGCAATATCTTCTGGTTCCAATAACACCTCTTTCAAGATGGCTGATGATGAGGAAATGAACTCCTCTATCTTCCTCTTCTCGATACCCATAGATTCTGTGATCAATGGGGTTGCTGTCGCAAAAGGAGAGATGCAATTGACCCTAATCCCGTGCCCTCCCAACTCCACAGCTAAGTTCTTGGCAAGCCCTACCACGGCGTGCTTCGATGCAAAATAAGGGTGCGGAGTTGCGCCTGTACAGGTTGCTGTAATCACACTTCCAGTGAACAGAATACACCCTTTCTTGGCAGGTATCATGACCCTAGCAGCATGCTTAGCACCCAAGAATGCACCAAACAAATTGACATCAAGCACTCTCTTGAACTCTTCGTTTTCTACATCTAATATCCTCGGAGCCTTACAGGTTCCTATTACCCCTGCATTGTTGAACATGATGTCAAGCTTTCCATACTTGGAGACGGCCATGTCGACAGCTTTTTTGACATCAGAATCACATGTTACATCACAATGGATGTAAGAGATGGTCTCTTGAGAACCGAGGTTTTTGCTTACCATTTCACCAAGGTCATCTTGAATATCCGCAATGACAACCTTTGCTCCATGTAGAACAAACAGCTTTGCAGTGCACTCGCCTATGCCACTAGCACCACCAGTTATAAGTGCAACCTTTCCTTCTAGCCTGTAATTCATAACAACAAAATCAAGAAAAATACGTGCCGTTAAATCTTTTAATTTTATTTCCTGGTAGGTTAATTTAATTTCCCATATAGAATGACTGATATTTTACTCCATAAATCATAAGGAAAAGTTACAGAATTTTCGTTTGATAGGCAAACAGGTCGAATGAAATTTGAGTTTATAACTTGTATACCTCTTGCTGCAGGCTAGAGTTATCGAGGAATCCGAATCCATTTTCTCCTAATAGTGCTGGAAAATGAATGATCGGATGCTGATTCGATCTTTAAAAGGCAGGAGCTTCGTAGATCATAAGCAACGAAAATTATTTCTGAAGTTAGCACGTGACATCAGCACATTGGCAGGCTGGCACTCTTTAGTTGACGTTATTGCTTTGTTTGCAGGCGTGACCACATCAGAATTTCACTGTAGCTACAGGTCCTCTCCCTGCCGACCACAAAATAAAAATAAAAATAAAGCAATAAATGCAGAGAAATTTAGATTCTTTTGCAAACACTTATTTATCACTGTGATTGACAATTGCATGCATTGATTAGGTACAGTTGTTCTCCCTATTTCATCATCACTTACGTGGTGTTGAGGCTGATATAAATTATCAGTTTTTTCTTTTTAAAAAAAATCAAAACATCTTTAATATTTATATTATTTGACCTGTATTAGCTCATTAAAGTTAGTTCATATAAATATTATAAATAATAGTAAATAATAATAATAATAATAATAATAATAATAAATAAGCGTTAGTTGATTGAGATTTTCAAAAATCGTATAAATAGTATTTTTTAACTTCTCTCCATTAATTCTCTCTGCTTTGCATCTACCCTCGTTCTCTCATCTCTT